CCACTTCCCCAGGACCGGTTCTTCCTCCCGAGGCGTTTCTTGACGGTCCCGGGGCCCGGCGAGGGCCCCGAGAGGACCAAAACTGAGAAAAACCTTCGTCCCGATTTTCTCATCCCGAGGCGTTTCTTGACGGTCCCGAGGCCCGGCGAGGGCCCCGAGAGGGCCAAGACAGAGAAAAACCGTCGTCCCGATTTTCTCGGGACGCCCGAGGTCCGGGCCGTGCGGCCTCCACGGGGGGCCCCGGGGGCCCCGGCCGGCTGCGCCCCGTGGCGCCGGCCAGAGCGCGCCCTGGGACGGATCCGTGCCCGGGCCTCGGGAGGAGGACCCATCAGGCAGGCCCCAGACGAGCACGACTCGCTTTCAGTCGGGCGTGTCCCCCTGCAGGGGGATTTTCGACGAAAAATAGAAAATATGCAAAAACTACACCAAAATGGTCAAAACATATGCAACAAATAGTCTCCAGACTATTCTTCGACTATTTTTGAAGATTCCCCCTGTAGAGGGACAGGCCCGACTTCAGACTCGCTGCAGAGCGTTCTGGAGCGCGCTCAGGGCGTTCCGGAGCGCCTCGGGAAGGCCGCGGCGCCCGGCACATCCTCCAGCTCTGCCGTGACCCAGAGATTTCCGATCCAGCCTCCTCCGAGTTTCTCTTCGTCGTGCCTTCGTCTCGAGGTCGAGGTTGGAGGATCGATAGTCTAGGATCGAGATTCGAGGATCGATGGCATTTTGGCATTTTTGGTATTCGAGGATCGAGATTCGAGCGTCGATGGCATTCGAGGATCGATGGCATTCGAGGATCGAGATTCGAGCGTTTTGGCATTTGTTTGGGGCCCTCGGGAGCCTCCGAGGGCCTCTCGTCCCCTCTGTTCCTCGTCCCTCGTCCTCGTCCTCCTCGCTGGAGGTTCGAGGATGGATCCGCAGACATTCGAAGCATAGTTGTTTTTTTTGCTTTTGGTTTTGTTTTGTTTTTGTTTTTTTGCGATCTGGGTATTTTTCCGCAATTCTGTTCTCCAGGGGTCAGTGTTGGACCCCGGTGCCATCAAACACAGATAGGGGGCGAAAGCCTCTCCCCAGGGAAGGGGCCGGGACCTCCCGGGGGTCGCAGATTGAGCAAATCATATGGGCGGATGTCTTGGATCATGCCCTCCGCCTTAGGGGAGGGCGGCGGTGTCTCGATCGCCACACAAGAACAACCGTAGAGCTTAGCCAGCTCGGGGGGTGTCCAAGAGGGGGGCGAGGACAGGATGTGTGGATACCATGCCCGTGACCATGAGATCTCCAAGACTTCACGGCGCCCTCCTCTTCCCTCCACTTGTTCCCTGCCTCCCCCCCTCGTCCTCGCACGTGCGGCGGACATGCTGCTCTAACCCCGCTCCTCTTGGGCCCGGAGGAATCTGCAAGACTATTAACAAGAATAGTCTGGGGACGATTTTCCGATTATTCTTGCCGCCACGTGCACATTGCGGTGGTTTTTGAGAGGGATTGTGGGCCTGCGCGCACGGGCTAGTATGATGCCCGCCGCCGTCGTGTAAACAACAATGCGCAGTGATGGCGGGACGCCCGAAGATAGTCCAGATGATGACGCAAATTGCACTTTCTAAACCCGTGGGGCGCTGACGGAGTTGGCCCCTGGAAGTCCTCTTGGGACCCTGCCTGGGGCTCTCGTCAAGTGTTTTCGGGGCTTCTGGGGCAGTTTTGGAACCGTCGTGGGCGTCTTGGAGCGAGATGTGGGGCGTGTCGGGGCCCTCTTGGACAGTGTACTGCGTGCTCGCGAAGGAGTGCCTGGGGGCCCTTCGTCAATCGCGGCACCGCCCGTTGCGCCAGTAGTGATTTCGGCGGCTGACATTCTCACTGTTCGCCGTGCACGCATGTGGAAGCTGGTGAGAACCCACGTTTACAGATGGCGGGCATCTGCCAAAACACGTTTTGGAGCCGTCGTGGGGCGTCTTGGAGATGTGGGGCGTGTCGGGGCCTTCTTGGGCAGTCTATCGCGTGTTTGCGTAGGGTTCCCCCCGGGCCCCCCGGTGATCGCGGCGCCGCCCGCACCAGCTCATCTTCGAAGCCTCGTGAAATGATTCGGGGCTTTTTTGGTGGCCTGTGGGGCCGTCGTGGCGCGGTCGTGGGAACGTCTTGGGCTGAAAGAAGCGTCCGATAGCAGTAAAAATGGGAACCCGAAAGAAATCTTCAACCCGTGGGACATTGACCTGGAGGCCTCTTGGGAAACTGTATGGTGTTCTCGTCGATTGTTTTCGGGGCTTCTGGGGCCGTCTTGGAGCCGTCGTGGGCGTCTTGGGGCGAGATTTGGGTCGTGTCGGGCCTTTTTGGACATCGTACCGCGTGCTCGCGAAGGAGTGCCCCTTGGCCCTTCGTCAATCGCGGCACCGCCCGTTGCGCTAGTAGTGATCTCGGCGGCTGACATTCTCACTGTTCGCCGTGCGCGCATGGGGAAGCGGGCGGGAACCCACGTTTACAGACGGCGGGCATCTGCCAAAACACGTTT